AAGTCTTAAGAAGCGCTCGCTCTTGAGGGACTCTGATGGCGCACCCTGTATTGAGATGCGCTGCAGAGGAGTGGCTGCGATCCAGGCGTTGTATGCCGATCTTGCCTCCTGTATAACCTGTCGCCACCATACGTGCGCCTTCGGCGCCAGATCGTGGATGGAGGGTTGGATGCGGTGAATCCAATCTCCGCATCTTAACGCTGGGTTTGGGTCCGACGGGGGACCTAGCTTGGGTAGCTCCCAAAGCGTTCTGTCCCCGGGGAGGAAGTCCCTGCCGTCAAAGGCCTCACATTCAGACCTCATTGGTGGGGTTGCAGGCGGAGTTCCTGGAGGAACCCGGGTCCCTCCTGGCGTTGTTGGTGACGGATTGCCTTTCCCGGTAGGTCGACGCCTTGGTGTAACTGGACTTGGAGTCCTTGTCTTAGGCGGTGACCCTGACGGCCTTGGAGGGATCCACGAGGGAGATGACGGCTCTTGAGTAACGGGTCTTGCTGTGCGGGTAAACGGTGATTTTGCCTGAGGATCGAACGGGGTTGGTACCGGAGGATGACCTCCAAACACAGGAAGGGCGGGCACTGCTTTGTCTAGGTGGTCCGGAGACGGAACTTGAGGGGCGTACTCTTCGGAGGCTATTGAGAAGTACTCTGGACCAGTAGGGGTCACCTGGATCCTGCCTTCACCATCAAGAATGCCCTCTCTAGGAACCCCGTCAACCATGACAACCAACTTTCGAACCTGAAGGCCCTGACTGTCTATCGCAGGGTAACCCCTTACTTCATCCGGTCCGTTCGACAGACCGGGTGGGCTTTCTGACGTAAAACGGGCCTGACCTGTCGACTGAGGTGCGGCGGTAAGTGCACCCTGACCTGACGCCTGCTGTCCTATGTCGAGGGCAACCTGACCTGACGCCTGCGGTGTGGTGCCATCTGCAACCTGACCTGACGCCTGCGGTGCTATGCAAACTGCAACCTGACCTGACGCCTGCGGTGCTATGTAAGGCGCAACCTGACCTGACGCCTGCGCTGCCATGCCAAAGGCCACCTGACCTGATGCCTGAGGTGCTATGCGCTCTGCAACCTGACCTGACGCCTGCACTGTCATGCCAAAGGCAACCTGACCTGACGCCTGCGGCACTGTGCGAGCTGCAACCTGACCTGACACCTGAGGTGCTATGCACTCTGCAACCTGACCTGACGCCTGAGGTGCGATGCAAGCTGCAACCTGACCTGACGCCTGAGGTGCGATACCAGCTGCAACCTGACCTGATGCCTGAGGTGCTGTGCCGCGGGCAACCTGAAGATCTACATCAGCCTGAGTTAGGAAGGGTGACGCAGCTTGTGGGGAAAACGGGCTTAGCGCAGACACTGGGGTTTTTACCGGGACAAGGGCACTACTAGGTCCGCTCAGCTGACTGCCACCACTGGCGAAATGCGTCCACGGAGGGCGGAACATGCGGGTAGCGCCCGCCCACGTATCCTCACCGACCTCACCTAGGCCTTGGACACTGCCGATACCCTTCCCCTTTTCAACCCTACCAGCCCTTAGCCCCGTGCTAGGCCTCAGTCCTCTCCCTCCCTCTACACTACTGGCGTCATTGCCATAGAAAGTACTACCCTCAGCTGCATAACGACTGTACACGTCTACACGCTCTGAATCAGTACTCATCGCTCTGGTACTTCCCTGCTTCGCCGCGACCAGCTCCTCCTGCAGGGCCTGATTCTGAGCCACCAGCTGTCTGATCACGTCCTCCATCTCGAAGACGAGTCCCGAACCACCTCCTGCCGCCGCGGGCTCATCGATGCGCCGGCCACCTTCACGGTGATGGTTGCCAGGTCCGGAAGCTCCGACACCATTCAGCATTGGAGAGGGTCGCTCAGCTCGGGCCTTGCTTTGGTCGCTCGAAGAAGTATTACCCACTTCTTTAAGCTCTTCACCAGGCACTGGTTGATCTCCACGCTCAGGAGAACCCTCAACCGACATGTACTCGTAGGGCGGCTCCAGCCCTTCTCCGAAATCTAGAAGCCTCGGGAGATCTCCCCTGATCTCCGTCTCTGGTGGCTCCAGCTCCAGCATCATCACGACTGCCTTCGCCGGTTTCACACTCCCATTCCGGATTGCCAGCTGAAAGCGACACGTCAGCGTCATTCTCAGCTGGGCTTACATGCCCATAATCGGGCCCATTATCACTTTCCATTGCGCAGTGGCTAGCAAGTGGGGCTCATGACCTATGGATCGTCAAGAAGCCTTCCACAAGCACAAGCTCACAAAAGAACTTTTCACGGAAACGGCCTGTTCGATGAGCTACAGTCTTCTAGCGGATTTGTACAAGATGCTAGTTCTACAGCTATCGTTGTTGGAAGAGGACTGAGTCCTACTGCTTGCAGCCTGCATGGCTTCCATGAATAGGCATCGTCTTTGGCTGCACACAATTAGAATAGGGTTTTGGGGTATATAATACTACTATAATAATAATAACAATCATAATAATGAAGCCTATGTTAGAGCAATTCAGCAGGCCATCATTGACTCATCGTCCGGTTTCTTAAGGGTCCGAGTCCTATTTAGGCCGCAGGATCCTGTTCTAAGGACCCCATTACTACAAGTGGATGAAGGATCCCGTAATTTTCGAGACCAAACCCTCAAACCCAAACCGTAAACCCGAAACCCTAAACTCCCAAAGTTCTGTTGAGACCAAAACGAGCAGGTTGGATCCTGGCTTCGGCGCATCGACGAAGCCGCGGACAGTGCGTCCGTATCCTCCGAACCCGCCGGTGCCATGACGTTGAGGTTCAGGTTCTAGGGTTTTGGGCTTTGGGGTTTGGGGTTCAGTGTTTAGGATTTAGAGGTTTTAGGCTTTGGGGTTTAGGGCAGGGGTTCGGGGCTTTGGTAGGTTAAGGGGTTTAGGGGCTTTAGTCTGTGTGTTTCAAAACTCGAAACCCCTGAACTCCAAGCCCTTGGCCCCAAAACATAAAGCGGCATTCGCTGGAAAGTGGGTCCTTGGTCGCTCGAAAATGTGAATGTAATCATGAGAACTCAAAGAGGACAAGTGTACCGGACCTACTGCTCCGGCAATCATCTTGCATCGTAAACCTTAAACCACAAGGCTGAACGCAGACTTCAGCAGTCCACACCAATCTCAGTTTGAGTCCTGCTTGGCGGAAATCCGAAACGAACTCAAAAACCGAAGAAATCCTCAAATCACTAAACCCTAAACCCTATTGAAATCACAAGTCTCATAGCGGTGGGATCCTCACCAAAGAGCGTCAACAGCTAGCGCAAGCAGTTAAGGATTTAGGGTTTAGGGTTTATAAAATTTAGGGTTTAGGGTCTAGGGTTTGGGATTTAGGGTTTAGGGTTTAAAGATGTCTAGTGTATCCCCAGAAGAAGCGATGTTACAACTAGTTGTGCTCCGGACAAGGTCGGCAAGTAGCGCGAGCTGAGAGTCGCGGAAGCATGAGCTCCGCGGAAATGTAGAAGTGTGTTTCAGAGCAAGCTGTACACTTGAAGCACTTGCGAAACCACGGAGTTCAAAGCCGCGACACGGGTATTCTGCGACGGGAGTATCGAGAAAGGCTCCGGCAAGGACATCACGGTATTGGCCTTCCCAAAACCTGCATAGCTGCAGCAGCATCGCCGCATCTTCGACGTTGCAGAGGAGCCCCAGCAAAGACCTCGCCAACTTGCTCTTTGTTGGCCTAGTTAAGTCAGTGCCAAGAATACTCTCTGCCCTCTACTAAGTGTAAGGCAGACCATGTAGACTCAAGACCAGGCTCCGTGCGTACCCGAAGCCCGCAACTCATTGCCGAACCAATATGCTCCCGTGCCCAGCAAATGCTGATGCTGTTCAACTACATACACGCCAAGCTTATGGCAACAATGTGTCGGATGGACTTAGAGCTGAGATGTTCCAGAGCCCCTGTCAATGAGATCGCTTCCTGCAACAAGCTTGGAAGCAGGCATTGCCTATCGCTGCCGCAAAATGCGTGCCAGCACGAGTGTTGCGTCGATGGAAAACACGACGCTGGGATTTGTGTGACTACAGGACCCCGGATCCTTTAAGCCTTGAATGCATGCTTGAGACGGCACACACTGTCACTCACGCGGCATGTGGAGCGTGTGGATTCCAGGGTCTCGGGGAGCCCTGTGCTAAAGGAACTTGTTGTCTTTGCCATTCTGTAGCTGTTCATCTGCTCATCGCCCGGGATCCCTAAACCCTAAACCCTAAACCCTAAACCCTAAAGGGTCGGGTACTGTAAGTAACAAAGATACATCGATCCGGTGATGTTGCGCCCTCGTGTCCTCAGGGTTGAGAGGCAGATGTCAGCTCTCCCACGAATGCACCTCCCTCTGCTCCCTGAAGAGTGAAACAACTGGGAGCTTCCGAAAATAAGGGGTACTCTATTTTGAGGTCCTTATAATAAGAATCCTATTATTTAGGGTACTATATTGGAGTCCCCTAATTTCGGAAACCCCCAACTTCATTGCGATTGTAAAGGTATCCTGTATCAAGCTTCTCTTCTGCACTCCCGACCAAACCGGGACCACAGCCTAACCGAACAAGAGCCGTCAATCAAATCTGCAACTATAAGCTTTTCTAAAACTACCCTGCACCCCAAATCTGAAATCATCGGCTCTCGAGTAGATCGCGGGGACTCGCGAGTCCATGCGGAGATCGGTCCTGCAGCCGCCAGATTTTGCTCGCTGAGCGGGGCGCTACCAATAATTCAATAGAGCCTGGGGCTCATAACCGTGATCTTAATACAGTAAGACAATCATAATCATGGCAGGAGTGGCATCCGCAGCAGCAGGAGCAACGCATGTGCTGCCAGTCATACAGTAGTACTAGGAGTACTCGTACTAAGACGCCGCTAGTGGTAGCATGAAGCGCTGTGAAAAGCAAAAGCAAGGTCAGGCAACACATTCGTGGGAAGGAAAACAGATTGAGGCTGGTCTCGAAGCTTGCTAAACCCTAAACCCTAAACCCTACACCCTAAACCCTAATGGTGTCCGACGCGCTTGCCGAGAGGGTTGTGGAAGCCGTCCTGGCCCTGGAGTCGCTTCGGCTGTGCTGGTTCAGGGGTTTAGGGTTTGAGAGTTTTAGGGTTTAGGGGGTTTAGGGTTTAGGGGTTCGGATTTAGGGGGTTTAGGGCATTAGGGTGTTAAGGGTTTAGGGTTTAGGGAAGTTTAGGGGTTTAGGGTTTAGGGGTTCGGGCTGCAAGCTATGAAGCTGCAAAGGCTGGAGACAGTTCTGCTGCATGCAAGACCGAGGCAATCCTCCAGCTCTCCGGATCAGGTGCGAGAGGCCTGTGAGCTGTGCGATGTTTTCTTGCAGAAGTATCCGGGCAGCAGCTTTGCAGACTCTGTTCAGTGATACACATGGGCATACGAAGAAAGCTCGCCAGCCGTGCACCCGACCCGACTAGCTGAATAACCAAGTGATGCGCCGCCTCAGAGCCAGAGCCAAGGCAGCCCTCTGCGGAGCTTGCAAGGAAGCTGGTCAGCGCCGAAGCTCCGCCAGTTCAACGACTGGGGTTCCAGCTGACGCTGACATGGATTCGATCGAAGGTGGCAGAGAGCAAGAGGCCTTCCGGGCCGGAGTGGACAGCAGTGAAGGCCTGGCTACTGGAACTCTCGGCCTCAGAGAGCTGGAGCCATCCTAGTACCCCGAACTATCTGCGACGAAAGTGTGGTGAGGTCCTGTCTTGCATTGCAAGGTTGGACTGGCCAGGTGCCTGGCCGGAGCTCTCTCCGGCCTTGCTCACTTTGCTCAGATCAGAAACGCTCGGAGTGGGCCCTGCTTTGGTGAGCTTAGGGGTGTGGTCACAGCTTGCTGAGTCCGTGGTGGAGGATACGGACATGACAGCACAGCGGCGTCGGGAAGTTGCCGCCGGCATGACGGATCTCTTCGAGAAGCCTCCAGGAGCCCCGGCCTTCGTGGAGGCCATCCAGGCCACGTTGCAGCGCTTCGGAGGGGAGAGTCAGGTGGTTCGCGAAGTTCTCACGCTGTGCCGAGCCCTGCCCAGCGCAGTTCCGGTGAAGCTCCTGCTGCGGCATCACTTTGACAAGATTGTCCAGATTGGCTTCCAGTCTACCGGTTGCAAGGAGCTCGCAGTGACGGTTCTGGCCTCGTGGGCAGAACAGCTGGGATCCCAGAAGCCATCCGGCAAGGGCTCCAAAGGCAAAGGTGAGTCCACGTCGCCAGCCACGCACGACATCTGTCGATTAACGGCACTGATCGCCAGACTCGTCGAAGAATGCAAGTTCGACATTGAGAGGCCGCAAAGCTACGGCTACCACCAGCAAGTTGGCCGCGTGCTTGCTGACTTATGCAGCTTCAATGCTGCGGGCTTCTGTGAAGTCTTGCCACCTGCCGAGATGGGCACTCTTTGGGCAGCACTGCTCTTCCTCCTGCGCTACCCCTCTGCAGCTCTTCATATCGATGCAATGACAAGCATGGTCTCCCTGGCCCGGCATGCGCCCAAGATCTCCGGCTCAGGGCCTTCCCGACCTCTGCTGGAAACCCTGGTGGGTGCCCTACACGTGGCTGCCCTCAAGGCAGACTTCGCTGAATCGGCAAACGGGGTCCCCGCCTCTTCGGAGCGGAGTGCCTGGCTGCTCCGTTGCTTGGGCCCCGCTTCGAGCCAGAGGACGGCACTTTTGGGAAATCTAGGGACCTCCTCTATACACGCAAACCGACCTCCTCCTGAGTGCATCGGTTGTCATGCATAGTGTTACTGCCGCTGTTCTTGAAAACTCTGTATAGAGAGCCAGCGTTTATCTGAAGGGGTTCTGAGATAGCAATAGAGCTGTTAGTCCTGCTATGGACCGCTAATTAATGTTCTACTTTCTGCAGCCTTCCTATTTAGAACAGGGTTTTGGGGCCATTATACTATAATGATAAGAACGAACCACCAAAATAGTATTGGTAATTATTGAGGCCCCTACACCATGACCTCAAAGTCGGAAGTACACGGTACTGGCAGGAGCCCTTCCACCATTGCAGAGTGGTCCGCTTGGATGGCAGTGTCGGCGAGCTTCGACGAGGTCGAGACGACCTCGCCACACGGCGAGAAGCTCTCTTTGGAATAATCTAGCGGCCTTCAAAATTAGAATAGGGTTTTGGGGCTCATTATGCTCTAATGATAATTTAGTAAGGAGCCCCCGAAATAGTATTGGTAAGTATTTAGGCCCCTACATGAACCCGAATGAGCGCGATCCTTTGCCCAAGTCTACCTCAAACTACGAACCTCACGTTCGAAACCTTAACAAACCGTTGACCCAAACCCCAAGCCCACAGCCCGAAACCCAAAATCCTCAACTCTAAGCCCTAAGCCCCACATCCTAAACTCTACACCCTTCACCCCAAATCCTAAACCCCAAACCCAATTCCTAAGCCCCGAATCCTGGACCCCTGTACTACTGCTCCCGCTGCTGCCAATACCTGATACAGGGTTGAGGGTTTAGGGTTTAGGGTTTCGGATTCTGTGGTGTTGTTGCTTTATGGTGGTGCAGTCGTGATGGGGGGAATGGATTTCTATGATAGTCCCTTAAGGTCCCTTATAGCAGTCCCTATAACCCTAGGGCTCTATAACCATTGTGATTACCTGCTGGGCCTCTGAGGGGTATGGTAGTTGGGTACTTTGGAGAGGGTTTAGGGTTTAGGGTAGTTGGGTACTTTGGAGAGGGTTTAGGGTTTAGGGTAGTTGGGTACTTTGGAGAGGGTTTAGGGCTTAGGGTAGTTGGGTACTTTGGAGAGGGTTTAGGGTTTAGGGTAGTTGGGTACTTTGGAAAGGGTTTAGGGTTTAGGGTAGTTGGGTACTTTGGAAAGGGTTGGGTTTTCAGGCCGCTTGCAGTAAGCAACTGCCTCAGCCAGCTTTGGCGTTCGACCTAACTTACTGGCAGGTGGAAAAGAGGTGACAAAAAACAGAATCCCAAACCCCAAACCCTAAACTAAACGAACCCCTAAGCCCAAACCCTAAACTAAACTACCCTCTAAACCCCAAACCCTAAACTAAACTACCCCCTAAACCCCAAACCCTAAATCCTAAACTAAACCAACCCCTAAACCCCAATCCCTAAACTAGACTACCCTTTAAACCCCAAACCCTAAACTCAACTAACCCCTAAACCCCAATCCCTAAACTAAACTAACCCCTAAACTAACCCCAAACCCTAAACTACTAAACTACCCCCTAAACCCCAAACCCTAAACTAAACTAACCCCTAAACCCCAAACCCTAAACTAAACTAAACCAACCCCTAAACCCTAAACTAAACTAACCACTAAACCCTAAACCCTAAACTAAACTACCCCCTAAACCCCAAGTCCTTGACCCCTGGCAGCTTTCTGCAGCTCCAGGTCTGGCGAGGCAACGAAGGCTCACAAGGCAGATTTTGAAATTAGGGTTTAGGGTTTCGGGTTTAGGGTCTAGGGTTTCGGGTTTAGGGTCTAGGGTTTAGGGTTTCGGGTTTCGGGTTTCTGGTTGTGGTCTTCATCTTTTGGGTTTAGGGTTTCGAATCTAGGGTTTCGGGTTTAGCCTTTAGGGCTTTGGGTGTCGGGCTTGAGGGGAGAGTAAGGTTTAGGGATTTGCCTGTGCTACAAGCGAAATACGATGGAGTTGATGTTTGTGGCTCGTGGGTATAGGTATGCAGTCATGAATGAAGACGACAGTGGGATGCAGTTGGGGGTTTCCGAAAATAGGGGACCCTAATATAGTACCCTAATTAATAGGATCCCTATTATAAGGACAACAAAATAAGGTACCCCAATTTTCTGAAACTCCCAGTTGGATCCAAAGAGGCGGGGAAGGGCAAAGGCCCCTGAGCTTCACAGAATGGTAGGTGAAGTCTCAGCTCCAGAGCCCTGAAGCCGAGACTCCCCTAAAACCTAAACCCCTAAACCCTAAACCTCTAGCTCCTAAACCTTCAAAAACCCAGACCTCCGAACATTTTGGGCCTTCAGCAGCAACCAGACACACACCAGACAAAAGGACTTCAAAAGCACAGTGTTCATGTAGAGTTTAGGGGTTTAGGGTTCATCCTTCTGATCAGTGTTGAGTCGTTATTGTCTTTGCTGGGATTGTTTAGTCATTCGCACAAGATGTGCTTCAATGGATCTATTGAGTTGTTGTCAATATTTCAAGATGTTTCATATTGCGAACCTCAATATTACCTGTGGTCATTGCTGCTACGTGCGCCCCCAGTCCTCTGCGAGAAATGGAGTGAACTTAATACAACTGATGCGCACACCAAAAACCGACAAATACACCTGCGAATACATGTGGTCCTATGTGTACCTAGCCTTATGTAGCCCAGAACGGGAAAAGGAGTAGCAGCAGCAAGAGTAGGACAATAGAGTCACAACGACGGCCATGGCTGAAATACCGCGAAAGTACCGGCAGCAATGGCCAAACGAGGAAGAGGATCACTGATGACGGCAACAGTAGCACTATGGCAAAAGGGCAACTGTTTGAAAAGGGCATTCGGAGGAATGATGATGCCTTTAGAACGCTAAACCAACAATCCGAGTCGCCCTGCTTCAATTGGGAGGTCGGAATGGTTCGTACACTTTGCCGAGAGTTGCTCGCCGAGCTTTGCCGACCGGGGGCTACGACGAGCAACGAAGGGGAAGGTGGAGACTTAAATGGTTTTAGGCTCAACACTTTAGAGCTTTACTCTAGGTCGTCATGGTTGCCACCATCATCAAGGCCGTACTCATCGCCATCATCATACTAGTAGTTACTCGTCATGGTGCAAGGCTCGGGCTTTGAGGGACGAGGGCTTGCGAAGTTGACAATGGTGGTGAGACTTTGGAAAACAATGGGAGCTAGGCAAAGGTCCGCATTGCAAGCCAGCGTTGCTATTCATATCGCTCGTCCCTGGTTTTGAAGTGAAATTCGTCTCGGATTCAAAGTTCCTCAGAGACTGTTTTTCGTCATCATCGCATTGAAAGTGCAGGGCTTCTTACAAGTTGGACAGACACAGACCAGAAGAAGTCTTGGCAGTCAGCCCGCCGAGCCTCTGCACCCCAAGGCCCCAAAGCCGAACCCTAAACCCTAAACCCGTAAACCCCTAAACCCCTAAAACCCTAAACCCTAAACTCTAAACCCCTAAACCCCTAAACCGCAAACCCCTGGCCCGGAAGTCTCCGTCTGCCCCATGGGAGGCTTCGAGGCCCTGTGCCGCTTTGCAGGGGCTTTGGTCGCAAGGGCTTTGGCAGGCGATCCGGCCTCGAGCTGGACTGAAGAGCCTTGAAGGAAGGTGAATGTAGGGGCCGTAGTAATTGTTGAATAGGGTTTGGGGGGCCCACTATACCATAATTATAATAAGGAGCCCGGTAGTTATGTAGGCCCCTACATTAGGTCGAGTTGGGTTGTAAGGTTCAGCGTGCTTACGGCGTCTAAGGTTTATGACGCAAGATTTAGGCTTTCGAGGTTGGTATTTGTTGGGCTTTCAGGGTTCAGGACTCTCCTGCCAGAACGGTTGCCAAGCTCAAGTTTGCCACAAGCAGCCCAAATGCAAACCACATTCGAAACTTCTACGTAAGGGTTGGCTCTTCGCCTCAAGTATTCAGGTCGGCACCTTGATGGGTAACCTAAATTTGAAACAGTCCCGACATGGGCCGATCATCGATTCTTGTCACCACGGTTGCACTTGGAGGTTCAGAATGTGGGTTCTCGGCAGGTTGCCCAGGACTTGGGTTCTTGCCATCAACCAAGAAAGCTCTCTCTCTCTCTCTCTCTCTCCAAAACAGAGCCTACAGCCGCTCAGCCTGTGCAGTCGAAGGAATATGACAGTGCCCTGGTCCTGGTGGAAGCTGCGGCTCTGGAGGCTCTCAAGTACGCTGAAAAGAACTCCATCGATCCGGGAGCGATCTCCAAGCCGATGTTATCCTTCCTGCAACAGGTTTGCATTGAAGCGCCTAGCTTCAACCCTTCCATCGAGCATCGCAGGCTCGAGTTTCTGTCATCCTGCAGCCCTTTCTTCAAGCACTGGAGCGAGGAGGTGCTGCGAGATGCTCTGACACGAGTCCTGGCGCCCATCCGATCACCCCACCCCGAGGCTCACAAAGCACAGCAGAAGGGAATAAAGCTGGAGCAGAGGGCTTTGAGCACTTTCGTGGCCGTCTGCAAGTCGGGCGTCCTCCGTGCCAACCAGCTGGAGGCACCAACCGACTAAAGCCCGGCCCAGGCCCAAGGTTAACAGAAACCCCTTGCACTTAGTCGAATGCTGACTGAACCGGTGCAGAGGCGCTCAACCAGGAGTGCATGCAGCTTGCCGGCACCGTCTCCTCAGCACACGCCCGCGGCCAGCTGATTGAGGCTTTAGCGCTGGCTCTTGCCTCCTGTCCGGACCTGGACACTTGGAGAGCATCTTCCTATGTGACGTGCAGGGTTTCAGATTATGCCTGGTGGCGATGTCTGCAACTGAGCCAAAGGACCATAGTCACAATAGACAGCCTCGGCGCTTAGTGTTTTCAGGCAGGAGCCTGGATAGATATACGTACACTGTTCTACCTATGTGTATATGCGGATACTACCTCAGTAACGTCCGAGTATTTGTTTAGCACTAGCAGGTAAATAGCAGCCCAGCACGAAAGGTACGGATGATGATTAGTACAAGCATGTGCATGCCTCCACCTGTATACTTTCTACCACGTAACTACATAGGTGTCATTTACTTATCCATAATTTTATGTACCTACCCACTGATGTTTCGTATTATCGTTCATGCACCTCTCTTCTCGCAGATTTGCATGCATGGTACAAGGTTCCGTGCCTCGAGTCCACAATGTGGAGAACATTTGCAACCATCGACAGCCGTCGTAGTTGCTGTAGTAGCAGCGGTAGCGCTTGTAAGTACTAGAACTAGCAGCAGTGGTTGTAGTAGCAGTAGCAGTGGTGGCGCCAGTCGCAGTGGCAGTAATAGCAGCAGTAGCAGTAGCAGTAGCAGTAGCAGTAGCATTAGCAGGAGCAGGAGCAGCAGCAGCAGCAGTAGCAGTAGTAGTAGAAGTAGCAGCAGTAGTAGCAGCAGTAGTAGTAGTAGTAGCAGCAGCAGCAGCAGTAGTAGTAGTAGTAACCAGTACTAGTAGTAGTA